GAAGCAGCCAGAAAGCTGGGCTCCCTGCTCCCTGCTGCCCGTGGCTGCTGGGGGAGCAGCCACCTCCTCCACAGCACCAGGTCCACGCATCTGGTGAGTGCTCAGGTGGGCCTGGCTGAGGTTTCTGCTGTTCCCTCAAGCCTGGCCCTGCCGTGCCAGGCCCAGGGATGGAGCAGAACGGGGCAGCAGCCTGGGCAGATGAAATGCATGAATGATGTATTTAGTGCTGCTCTGGTGCTTCAAGAGCACAGACCCTGTAACACTGAAGCCAGAATGAATTGGAGGCATCTTCAAGTGATGGAAAACTTGTAAGACTTGTTTGTTAGAAGTATTTATCAAACCAGGAAACTGTTTCACTGCCTGTCCATCCCAGGACCAGCACAGCTCTGAACAACACCATGAGACAAGGCACTAACCTGTGCTGTATATCTGGCCGATAAAAATAGTCAACAGGAGTGTCCAGACGTGAGAAAATTGGTGGTGGGATGTAGAGAGGTAATTCTCTATTGAAGAATTCTTCCTTCTCTGGCTTGAGCATTAGGACTTTGTCATACATGGAGGTTTGTTTGCCATCAGGACCAGAGTGCATTGCCAGGTACTGGAAATCAGACATTCCTGTGAGAAACAAACACCTTGTGAAGTTTGTTGTGGGTGTCACAGTATTTCTGACAACACTCAGTCTTCAGGAGCAGGAGTCTGGCAAATTTATGCAAAGGTTTTTACAGCAAGGAGGCTGTAGCAACAGGAGACTTGATTTTCCTTCCAGTCCTAAATTCTCAGAGGGAAACACTTTCCTCTCCCATCAGACCTACTCGCCTTTAAGCCACATCGACACAAACCCAGGGATTACCTTGAAATTTGTAAACAGTGGTGACAATCCCAAGAATTTCCATCTCAAACTGGACTTCTGGCTGGCTTTGTCCTTCGGTGTCTGACCTGTGCTGCTGCTGCTGCTTCTTGGTCCTTCTCCTCACCTTGAGCAGCAGGGTGGAGGTGGGGAAGCGGTTGGCACACACGGGGTGGCAATAAGGGTCCTTGGGGCGAAAATACAGCTCCAGCCTTTTGGCAGGGTCTGCATAGATCTGTGAGGAAGGGCAGGCACAGAGGCTGAGCCTCACAGCCTGTCCCCCCAGGCCTCCTCCTGCCACCAGCCCCCCTGCTCCACACCCTCTGCCCGGGGGTTGATTCCCCCTCACACCCCCCCAGGGAGCTGAACCCCTGTGCTGGGCACACCGGGGGGGGGATGCAGGGCTGCTCCCCATCCTTCCCAACACCTCCCGACTCTCGTGGGCAGCATCACCCCGAAACCACGCGTGGGACCTGCATTTGGGGCGGGGGGGGG